TATCGGAATCGCTACGATAAAATGTGTATATTCGTATATACGTGCGTGTCCCCGCGTTGCCCCGGATGAATTATGCCCGTAACGCGTGCTGATGCCACACCTCCCCTTATATACCTGCCGTTCTATCTGCCCACCATTATGTTATTCTCACCATCGCGATCGGCATCGTGTACCGTACCAACACGCACGATCGATCCCTCGCCGATCAACTTTGTCGAACGCAACATGGCGGCCCCCCTCTCGTTCATTCCAACGAGACAAGCTATAATTTGTCCACGAGAGAACGATTAAAAAAGCGTGGCTGCCTGTGTTATTGTTTATTACTCGATATCGATTATTTTTCGCTACAGTATTTTTTTAGTAATCTCGAAACGGAATGTTGATCGTACAAAGATTTTTATAATCGAGAGTGTCGATCAACGAACGATCGACTCGCACTGTTTTTTCTCCTTGCGATCCTTGTCTGTGATGGGGCGTGATTATTGCGCGAGGTGGCGCGTTATAAGCACGGGGTGTACGAGGTCGAGAGGCCGTCTCTGGTTCACGGGGTTGTTTCTATTTTTTTCCACTCCACCCCCGCCCTTTTCTTCTCCCCTGTATATAATGTACGCGTTAGATGCACGGGTTGCGTTTCGTAGCGGCGTTGTACGCGTGCGGCCACTCGTTCCACGAATCATAAATAATCTGGAAACATGAATATCACAGGGCACTGCTCGCCACCCCCGCCGCCTCGTACGTGTAATTCCCTTTTTTTCTTTTTTTTTTCTTTCTCTCGCTTCACACGCGGCCGAGATCGTGGGTATAACGGCGCGGAACACGTACGCGTGTAAGCGCGTTTCGCTGGTAATTAGGAGCTTTCCTTTTCCTTGAACCGCGCCTTCTCCTTCCTCGACCCTTTCGCCTAATTTCTTTTTTTAATATCATACCACTTTGCCATCCTCGGCTGCTCTTCACGAACTTTTGATTTTAATCTCTCTCTCCTCGACCAACAATTCCCCCTTCCTTCCCTCTCCCCCTCCGAATTCCGCGCTAATTTGCTCGCGGCCCGGGAAAATTAGCTGAAAACTCCTTGACCCGAACGATCAATCACGCGAACGCGGTGAGTGGGTTTCCTCTCGATATCTTGTTAGGTCGAGCCTTCTTGCTTGTGAAAATTGCTTGTAAATTGGGGCCATTTAATTTGGAAAATTCGATTTGTCCGATTTGGTTTTGCACGTATCACCACCACGTCTAGAAACGGTCTATTTCATTTGCCCACGAGTTTCGACTTAGCGCGAAAGTTTGCATCGTTTGTGGAAACATTCGAGTCTACGAATCTAGAGAATCTACAGGTTGCATGTGATACGAAAATTTATCGAGCAAAGTTATTACGATATTCGAAAAGTGAAACCGATCTTTGCTTCGCTTTTTATAATCGTGTTCGAAAAAAATTTTAACTTCCACTGAACAATGATACAATTTCGATGCAAGTACGAATTTCGAAATCAACAAAATACGCCAAACGAAATGTAATTTTCATACCTATGTAAATACATTCTGTTACCATCGATTGTCTAAATGTTACGAATGAATTAATCAAATCGGCGCCATATGTTTCGATTAATTTTTGAAACGTTTCGTCAAACATCGTATCGTCCAATTATAAATGAATTAATCCTGCTTTTTTCATTCGACTTTTGTTTCATCGAAATACGTGGAACGGGATCGAAACGAATCGCGCATTATCCGATTCCTTACATTCGCCACGAAGCAGATCCGTAAAATCGATTTCGGTAATTCCGTACGCGTGACGTATTAACGTATTTCTGGCCATTTATCGGCAACCTCGTCTAAATGTCAGAAAGTCTCGTAACCGGAAATACGAATCGAATTTTAAAATCGTCCATCCGAAGG